GCCCTTTATATGTGTGGTGTGGGTGTGTGTGTGTGTTGTGTGTGTGTGTGTGTGTTGTGTGTGTGTGTGGTGTGTGTGTGTGTGTGTATATTAGTATATATATATATGTATGGTGTGGTGTGTGGTGGGGTGTGTGTGTGCGTGGTGGTGGTGGTGTGTGTGTGTGATGTGTTGGTGTGTGTGTGTATAATAATAGTTATATCCTATGTGTGGTGGGTGTCGCAGTGGTGTGTGCTGTGGGTGTGGTGTGTGTGTGGTTGTGTGGGTGTGGTGTGTGTGTGTGTATGTGGTGTGTTGTTGTGTGTGTGTGTGTTAAGCGGTGCGTGCGTGCGTCACGGTAAGTACACACGGCTTATTGCGCGGGTAACGTCAATCCACACGGTTATCGGCCCCGTCGACGTAATAAGCCGTTAGTCCCGTAACGTTAATAACACCACGTTTATCGCCGCGTGGAGCTAATACACCGTTATCAGGTAACGGTAATACACAGTGTTATGCCCGGCCGTGACGTAATACAGGCACGTTAGTGCCCGGCGTAAGCGTATTATAACTATGTTATTCGCCCGTTGGACGTAATACAGGCACGTTATGCCCCGGTGACGTAATTAGCACGCGTTATCGCGCGCGTAACGTAATACACACGTTATCGCCCCGTGACGTAATACATCACGTTATCCCGTCGAGCGGGCTGTCGGTAATACAACGTTATCCCCGTGTGACGTGAGTGCATCACGTTATCTGCCCGTGACGTAATACACACGTTATCCCCCGTGACGTAAGTACACACGTTATCCAGAACGTAATACACACGTTATCCCCGTAACGTAATACACACGTTATCCCCCGTGACGTAATACACACGTTATCCCCGTGACGTAATACACACGTTATGGCGCCGTGAGCGTAATAGCACAGCGTTTATCGTCGCGCGTAACGATGACACACGTTCCGCGGCGTGAAGCGTAATACGTTATCGGCCGCCGTGACGTATACATGCACGTTTTTTCCACGTGAGGTAAAGCGTTTATGCCCCGCCCCCACGTGAGGTAATACACAGGTTCGCCGGGGTAACATAAGTAGGACACGTTTCCCGGCCGCGTTGACGTAATGAGGCGTGTATCGCGGCCGTGACGTAATGCAGCACGTTTCCTCCGTGACGTAAATTAGCGTTATACGCTGCGCCGTGAGTAATCCACGTTATAACAATCGTCGTAACGGTAATACACACGTTCCGAGCCGCGGCCGTGGTCGTAATACCGTTTCCCGTGGACGTAACAGCGGTATCCCGCTGTGTACGTCATACTTATGGCGCCCGCGTGACGTAATGAGCCGGTCGTGATCCCGCGTGATCGGTAATTCGCGGGTATCGCGGCCCGGTGGCGTATACACGGTATCGCGCCCGTGAGCGTAATAGAGTTATCCCGCGCCGCGTGACGTTAATACGGTGATCGGCGCGCGTCCCCCGTGACGTAATACGTTATCCCCCGTGACGTAATACGTGATCCCCCGTGACGTAATACACATGTTACCCCGGTGACGTATAACACACGTTAACCCATGACGTAATGCACATATTATCCCCGTGACGTAGTACACACGTTATCCCCCGTGACGTAATACACACGTTATTCCCCGTGACGTAATACATTACCTTGTCGTTTTCTTCCGCTTACTCCGGCAATAATGGCTGCAGTGAGCAGCAGGAGCATCGCCGAGCTTCTCATCCTTCCCACAATGCCGTGCGAGCGTGCACCTGAACTAAATCTAATAACGAACACAATCTTTGCCATTATCGAAAGTAAAATCCAGAGTAATTAAACTATAACTATGTAAACATATCAATAAAATTTACTAAACGTAGAAACTAGAATATACAAACTATATGTGCTCTCGGTAGGGGAGACCTGGGTAAGATGGGACACGCTTCATAGAAACCCTCTAAAACCCACTAAACCAACTTTACCTCCAAAATATCTTTGTGCGTGATCAATAACAATGAAAAGGATAACATTATCTATGGTTACTACATTAATGTGACTATTGATTTTTTATAGACCATCAAACATTTTGATCATCGTCCCATTTTACCCCGCTGTTCGGGGCAAGATGGGACACTAGATTATTTATTGAAAATTTTCATACAAAATTCAAATGGTAATAATGACATTTCATGACCAAGCTGCTTTAAAATTAGACATTTTTTTTAAAATCATTCACATAATTCGCTTTTCTAAATGTATTCCATGGATTTTTTTGAAATCCATGTTGCGGCATTACTCAAATTATCGCTCAAATTTGATTTTTTTATATGTTAAATTCTAAATTAAAATTCATGTTAGGATACTTGATTTAAAAAAAAGTAATAAAAACAAACAAAATCAAATTACCTGTATATTTAATCATTATCATTGTTATTGATTTTCTATTATTGGTTAGACGGGACGCCCCAGTATATCAATTTTTACACGAGTCTTATACCGGCTGATACACTGCACATTGGCCTACTCGAAACACCATGAATCTAAAATCTAATGAATGAAATAATGATAATAATAATTATATCTTATAATAAATAATATTCCAAGTCTTGAAATAACGAAACTTAACACTACAAACTTAACCAAATTAAAATAAAGATTTTAAAATACTAAAAGAGGCGAATCCTTGATAAACGAACAATTTATGTGATTTTTTTCAACAAAACTGCAATGCTTCGTTTTCCATCGATCAAGTGGAAGATGTGGATAGCTGTGCTGGCCTCTATAGCCCGATCAAAGCTTCATCTATCCACTGTCCCATCTTACCCAGGTCTCCTCTATAACATTTCAAGCTAAGTCAGCATCTCACTATTTGCATCTCATGCGCAATATTTCACCGTTACATCAGCGCAATGAATGAATTAAGCGCTCCGTTAGTTAATGTTAGTTAATGTTAGTTAGTTAGTTAGTGTTAGTTAATGTTAGTTAGTTAATGTTAGTTAGTTAAATGTTAGTTAGTTAATGTTAGTTAGTTAAATGTTAGTTAGTTAATGTTAGTTAGTTAATGTTAGTTAGTTAATGTTAGTTAGTTAAATGTTAGTTAGTTAATGTTAGTTAGTTAAATGTTAGTTAGTTAATGTTAGTTAGTGTTAGTTAGTTAGTTAGTGTTAGTAAATGTTTTACTTACGTCTATGTTGCCGTCTTCCACGCGCTCACACGCTGTCTGTGGCGGTTAAGCTGTTCGAGACCTGTGATGCTGTAGCGATCACACACTCACGTGGTTACCTCTCGTTCTCTTCGTTCTCGCTCTTTCTCTTTCTCTTTCACTGGCCGTGTATCCTGTGTTACGCTAAGCTGGCGCGCCTCGGTACTTATCCTGTGGCCCGGCAGGCATAAAGACTCGCCTCTCACGCTAGCTGCTCCACTCACCATGGCAGCCCAGCACAGACGCCCCCCCCCCACACCGCATGCCTGGCCGCTCATAGTGAAAGATGCGGTCCACACAGTGCCGTGACGTCACCGCAGCGTGACGTCACATCATAGCGGCATCACTGTTATATAAATGTTGAACCTTATTTAGGTCTATCCGGTTGTTAATTTTTCTGAACTCGCATAATTTGCCATAATTTTCTCAATAATAGACTAATTAATCCAACGATTAACTATCATTACCTGGATTTCACTTTTCTAGGTTTAAACGACATCTCAGGTTACTGTTTTTCCTACATTTCACATTTACCTTCTCCTAGGTTAGCTACACGACGGCTTGCTGCCTTACCTAGATTTGTGAAAATAACGTGTCATGCGGTAACCACCCGCATAAACAATGGATATGCAGCATAAATATTAAATCTGCTTTATTAGCATAATATAATCATTCTACCGTATCCCTAAAATGATAGTGCACGGAAATAATTATTACAACGCATATAAAAGCGGAGGGGTAATATGCAAAATAATACGCATGCACGCAGTATGACGCCATAGACACATATTATATAGCACGCGGATTGACTGTCGGATGAAACGGAATGTCGGGTAAGCAAAGATCGGATAATTTAGAAACGTGTATGTAACATCTATCTGAGTAATATTTACCTGTATTTCAGATGTACTTTATAATAGGTTACATGTACTTCACATTTACCTTGGGATATTTTATTTAAATTTTACCTTAAATTAATATTTGTCCGTCTATATTTCACCTTAACCATGGTTTAATTTACTTGTAATTCATGTTAATTGTAACTTTGTTCACCTATATTTCACCTTTAAGATGTTTTAGTTTACCTATACTTTTATCTTTAATGTAACTTTGTTGACCTATCAGTCATCTTTACCGCGTTCTACTTCACCCTTATCTTCAATATATTTTAGTTCAACTATATTTCGCCCTTTAACTTGCCCTGCTTTACTTGTATTTTACCTTCAATTTACCTTAGTTTACATGTATTTCACTTGCACCGTGTTCTGGTTTACCTATAATGTATATCATGTATAATGTATATCACCTTTAATGTTGTTTATTTCAATTTCACCTGTATTTTACCTTCCCGTGTTTTAGTTTACCTGCAGTCACCTTTAATGTATGTTTATTTCACCTGTATTTTTATCTTTTTTGTACACCCGTGTTCTAGTTTACCTGTATTTTACATTCACCTTGTTCTAGTTTACTTGTAGTTCAGCTTTAATGTAGTTTATTTCACCTCTATTTCACCTTCACCATATTCTGGTTCACCTGTAGTTGATATTTAAGTGGCCCCTTCGCTACACCACGCACTGAGCCGTGCTGCGCGCCCCGCCCCGCTGATCGCTGCGTCTATACAGACCATAGAAATAGTATAGATAATCTATTTCTATTCCTTTATCTATACTATTTCTATGATACAGACAGACGTGCGGATGCCAGCAATTGCTGCCTCCTTTTTAATCCCACACTCACGATAACAAACACGTTCGTGTGCCGCGGCTGAGCGAGTGGCACTCACGCACGCACGCACACACACGCACCCACACACACATACACGCACGCGCAGCACCATTACGACGCCACACATCACGCGAACACACGAAAACAGAAAGCACACCGCACGGACGCCACCGACGCACGCATCGCACAGCCGCGACGCACACGCACGGCGAGACACACACCACGAAACGCACCGCACAGAACGCCGACGACCTACGCATACACCACACGAACGCGACCAGCGAACAACCAGCACATAGCAGCGCGCACTGCACAGGAAAAAAGATCAAAAAAAAAAAAAAAAAAGTGCACACGCCGTACACGGAACGCATGGCAACAGCTACGCACACTATGCACAGCGCACCGCACCCAGCGCTACGACGCCGATTAGCACACAGCCAGCACGTGCGCCGCGCGCACAGCACGATACGCAAACAACGCGCGATGGACGCGACGCCACAACTAACAAAACAAGCGAGCACACTTACGACAGCGGCCGCGCCACACATTACGCGGTAAGCACGACGAACGCGACGCACGCCGGCACGCACGCAGCACAGCACGCGACGCCACAGCGCGGCTGGAACACACACACCGGCGACGCAGCGCCAGCGCACGCACACACACGCACGCACACGGGCGAGCTGCAGTAGAAGACAGTCACACATGTCGGACGGCACAGATGCTCACAGCATTACACGGCGTTGGTAGGGCGCACACTGCACGTCACACGCACACGGACATCACACACAGCGACAAGAAACACGGCGGTCGCTCGGCGCGCACCACACATAGCGCGAAACACACGCACGACTCGTCACACGGCACGCACAGCACCACACACACACCACACAGCACAACATCAGACGGAGCTGTCTGCGTGGCGGCGTGTCGCGCCGCACACACTCACGGATACGCAAATCTACACACACGCACGCAGCGACATCATTGCACACACCTGTATCGCGAACACACCACATCGGCACACGTTCGACATGCAGCATCACGCAGCACATACACACACACGCACCGGCGAGCGCAAGTATACGTTCGAAATCATCACACACATTGCATCGCACCGCACCAGCATACTCGGCCACGCACACGCCACGGCACACGTACGCACGCACACAACACACACACACAGCACGCGCTGCGCGCGCACACACATACGCAAAGCACACACACACACACACGCCACGCACATCACACGCACACACACCACACACGCCACAGCACACGGCACGACACACGACACGCCACGCACACATACCGAATCACCACAGCACATACGTACTACACACATACACACGCAACGACGCGCACACATACGCGGCTACAAACAACATACATACAACGCACGCGCACACATAGCGAACACACACAAGCACGCCACACATACCGGAACACACGACACGCCACTCTACGCAACACACGCACACTACACGCACGCGATTATCACTACGACGCACTATTGCCGCGGCACACGACGGCACGCACGCACGCACGCACACACACACGCACACACACACCAACTCGACACACATACGCGCACGGATCACATACGGGAACAGAATCAGCACGCATCCGGTGACCAAACGACATACACCGCCATCGACACACACGCAGCGCGCCGCACAAGTACGTGCTACAACACACGCAGCGCACACACACACACCACGGACACATCGCGAACCACACACACGCACTTCACGCACACACAAGCAAGCACACACACACGCACGCAGCACACGCAACACGCACACACGCACAGCATACAAGCACACATGACACATTACACACACACACACACACACACACACACACACACACACACACACAC